AACCTTTTTCGTTGGGAATTTCCTACCCTGCAAAAAAGGTCGTCTGGTATTTTTTTCCAAAATGACTCGGTACCGAGACAAATGCATATCACTGTTGGCATGAATTCAATAATTTTTTACTTGGATTTTTTTCATCTCGTTAAATTTTAGATAATGAGCGATGTTAAAAGAAAATATCAAAAGACCTTTTTGATGAGAATTTCTTCCCCCACAAAAAAGGTCTTCTGACATTTTCTCCTAACATTGCCCATTATCGAAATAAACGGACAATGCATAAAAATGTCGAATTTGAAATCAGATACCATTATAACTCGAGAGCACATTCACGTCGATTATTTGGAATTCTAGCTTCAGGCGGAATAGTTTAAGATCTAATGTAAAATACCCTTGCCATCAAGAGCACAATCTGAAAGAAATTCCGAAGAACCAACAAGCGAAAGTTGAAAAGTTATCTAAAAAAAAAGTTAGGTTAATCAAGAGTTCTGGATGTGGGATTTTGGTGCAATGGAAGATGTACTTATTATGACATCAAAGAAGCATATGAATGAACACCTTCAATTGATGGAAATTGTTTAAATTGTTGTTAATAATTTAGAATGGTTTTTCAGGATACGTTCGGATACTACGAAACATGTGAGGGAAACGTCGAAAGATGGATAAAAACAAAAAAGAATAATCACATTTTGAAGTAAGACAATACAAACCACATGTTCCAAATCATTTTAAAATTATTTCATCAACGTTTACTTACCTCTATAATTAAGTTTGTGCTCCACCTGAACAGCTTTGACGAGTTGATTATTATCACTTTATTAATACTTTCATATATTACGTATAATAGGTCGTATCTCGTATTATAATCATCGAATAATACGTCGCACTTGTTGATCGGCGCACTGGTTACGTTAATACAGGAACTGGAGAATTACTAACCGGGGCCGGAGCATGGGATTTCTATTTTACCGAGGTAGAAGTTATTCTTTGGAAGGGTAAAAATTATTTCGCGCGTGCGTATAGTTTTTGATGCGCACGATTAATAAAATTTCACCGGATTGAGAATAAAAATTATCTCACGGTTTTCAATAATTGACCGGGTAATTATTATCTTTATCCTTCGTAGGGAGATTATTTATTCATGTCAACATAAAATTCACCAAATGAATGATGAATTTGCCGCTTCTTTCGAAAAGTTATCCTGCGGAAGGGTAAAATTTATTTTACTTATTATAAATTTTATTTTTTGATTATTAATTTTTATCAGAATTCAGCATAGAAATAACTTTCAGTACACTTTTATCCTACCAGAAGGGTAATTTTTATATATTTTTTCTCTCCGTGTATAATAGTCAAACAGCCGAGGCCAATTACATAACTTAACTAGTACATGAATATGCGTAAATGTAATACAGATAGTTTATTCAAAAGTAGATAGTAATGCGAGGTGAAATTCTACGTTATGATATAATACATAAAAGGTTAATAGTGGCGTTGCGAGCGGAAACTTTTGAATCTAAACTATTTACAGAGTAAAAGAAATCAGTAATACATAATGACGGTTTCGTGAGCATTTTTTACCAGCCAGTCAAGCGGATCATTGAATATGTCCATTTCAGGGCACAGATAGAACATCAGATTCACCGCAGTGGTCGCCTAATATCAAGAAGTAGTACGTAAAAATCGTTGGGATCATAACTAGAAATACCATCGAAAGACTCAGATAAACACGAAATACAGAATAGTATGAATTTCAATTAATCCCCGTGGTACACCTCCTCTCCCGTGAATCCGTCGTCCGCGGGTGCAGTATTATCGAGATTGGTTCAGCGCTTTGCCAGAGGCTCTCCACCTGAACCCACTCATTCTCCACCCCCACTACCACCCTATCCCATTCCTCTTTACGCCACCCAATCACACCGGTAGCCGCTAAGTGCGATCCATTAAGCGTAATGGAATGCACCAATTATAACATTTGCTGAATAATTGGCGACTGCTCGGCAGTGCTCCAGCTGTATTGGATTGGTTCGTACTCAGCAAAAAAAAGATAACACGAATGAGAAATAAAAATGATGGTGGAAGGGTTTTGGGTAGTGGAAAATTCCGGATGAGTGAGTTTGTGAAAATGGCCGTACGATACTCGAGAGCGGGAGCGGCAAACATCAAATAAATCACTCAATTAATTCTCGGGAAATATACCTGTGTCGTGAGATATTCGTTGAAACGCTTGTTGCAACGCTTCGTCAATATTTTTTTTTCTCAATTTGGAGTCGAATTTTGGGGATTTTTTTTATAACCAAAACGATTGGAGATGAATTTTTTATGCTACTTTGTGATGCTATACTGAAGATGAACATCATTGTCTCGATATAACGTTGATTTCAAATGAGATTCATTATTCAATGGGATGTAAAATTATACCTTCATCTGGGGATCATTCAGCTGCGCTTCATCTCCTGGAGAAGTATTTTTAAACATTTGATGAAAGAAGACGATTTTTCCTTTTCACGTCTTGAATAATTTTTGGTTTTCTAGAAAGGCTGGGTTCATAATGAAAGTGTAACGAAATAGCGTCACGATAATTCCCTGTACTATTGTAGCAATACGGAATGGTCCGTGAGGTATTTTCGCAGTATGCTCTCACCCGTCCCCTCCCCTCCATTTTCCACCTCCAAAAACCGATTGCAGGATAAATTTCAAAACAAAATATATCGTTTACTTACTCAGAGTTGAAAAGTGGATCTGAAAATTGAAAATCATTACGGTCCTTGATCCCCTTATCTCCGGCAGACAGACGATAAATTCACTTCCAGCCCTCCGCCATCACTCCAATCCCTCCAACGCTCCTCCGGGACACCCCGGAATATTCCCGCATAATCCTCCCCCCTTGCCTCAAAAAAATTCTCTCAGAAGGCCGTTTCCCACATCGCTCCATTGTTATTAACAATAATTCACCCAGAATAATCTCATCCAAGAGCTACTGAAGAAAAAAAATCATGAAAAAAAAATGTTCGCACTCTCCGGTCTTTTCGCAGCCGCAAAGTGCTCGTTACTTTGTTGCTAATTCAATCAGAACTGGCGACCGGAAGAGGCGGATGCGTCAGACATGACTGAGGAAGAATAAGGAAACGTATTTCCACACGTTCACCCTTCATTCCTCCCCCTGCCCCCGCTGAGCTTTGACATGCAAATTGTCTGACAATGAATTTCGTAAAACCTTTTACGGTTAGTGCAAAAAGGAGATGAAGGAAGAAAAGGGGGTGAAGTGAGAGAGAATAGAGACAGAAGACGAGAAGGAAGAAGCCGATTGTGGGTTACCACTGTTAGAGTGGGTGGAGTCTGATACAAGAGGGAGTCAAGAAAGATTGAGTCAAGTTAAAAGGTGGTGGTAAGGATAGAAGACGAAACGACTGCGGGACGACGTTCTAGTATTAATCACTGTCTGCTGGCATCAACTTTGCCACTACGTCACCCATCTCTTCTCTCTTTTGACCCCCTCCCCTCCCTCCCCTTCGCCCTCTCTTTTCCCTCTTCAACTGATGTTCTTACTCGATTCATTCTCCCCCTGAGTGTTCTGTATCAAGAAGCCGCACGTCTGAATTCATTAGCTGTGATCTCAGTTCGATGTGATAGATGAGCGGGGCGAGAGTGACATTCTAACATGTTCTTGTCATCGCTATTATTGTTAAGATTCTATGAAACAATTTTGATCGAAATCATCAGGGAACGTAGACTAAGCTGACAAAGGAATGAAATCTTACAGAAATCATCATTCTGACCAAATTCAATTAATTGAAAAAAGGAGATGGAAACATTGAGAAGTAGTCATATGAGGCGTATCGAACTACGTCGTTAAAAGTCGATCGTCTCTAGCAAAGTGGCCTGGCGCCTGGTTACGTCCCATCTAAAATCTCTCTACAAACTGAAACGCTTCAAGGTGAGGTGAGGAGTATAGCGGGAGGAGAGGTAGCAGGAAGAAGCAGAGAACCGTTGGAAGGCTGTAAGACAGACAGTGTGGGTTGAGGTGAGAGGGGGGATGGATAGTAGTCGCGGGGTTGGAAGGGAGGGGGAGGGAGGAGGAAAGCTGGCGAGGTGGCACGGGGGATAAACCATGATGTCGTTGATTAATACGGTTTACCAGTAAGTGTAACGGAGTGTGCAGAACGCTCCTACCTCCCTTGTCTCCTCCAGCCCACCCACCCGATTCCCCTCCCTACTCCACTAGGTCCTCCTAAAATGCGATTCTCTCCCACTCCGAAAGGGATGCAAGAGGGTTGGGAAGAGAGATTCTCCCCCACTCAGAGACTAGGGAAAGCCACGTGCCGATCAATGGCGTCTCTCCTCCGATTGGACGAGAAAACGGACCAACCCCTTCTTGCTTTACCACTCAAACCTACCCCAGTCGTAAGAGGGCTTCTTGTATTTTTTTTAAGAGTTGGAAAAGAGAGGGAAGCAAAGCTCTTTCTTCAGAGAAAGCATTGATTGCCAACAAAACCCCTCGTCCGACCTTCTTCCGGTTTCCCTTATTCCCTTTAGAATGTTTCAGTTTTATTTGAGACTTTTTTGGTCTACCCTTTTTTTGTACTTTTTCTTCCTCTTTCACGTTTTAGGAGTCTATCGTTTTCAGAGTGATTTTCCTTCTTTACGTTTCGATGGCACGCGACCGAATTTAAGATGTTTTTTTTCGGTTATGGGTATGTTGAGGCGCTTCCGGATACCTGCTGAGAAATTTGATAGGCCGTTCAATCAAGCATGTTGATGTTTACGTGAAAATTCACTTCCAAATTTTTCAAATAGTATCAAATCTTCTTGATATAGTTATAGACATTTTCTCCGAACAATTTGCGCTTAAATTCAGATTTCTAGAATTGCAAATTCAGACTTCAGACTCCAACTCCGTTGGTAGTCTGAAAACTTCCTCAACAAAACACTAGACACTCCAGTTTCTGGTTCACTTTCATTCTTACTGAGTTTACTTGAAAGGTTAATAAATCTAAGAGACAACGTTTATCACGAGAACAAGTTTATTTCATACAACTACTATTACGCAGCGCTACAATATCATCTAAATTGCATTATTTATAATTGTATAATTTTTAATTTTTGTGATTCTTTATTGTTTACATCCGCCAATTATAGTGACGTTTATCAGACAAAGTTATTATACAAGTTTTAGTTTCATTTCTTCCATTTTTTTTATACATGATTTCTGGGTAGACTGTGTGAACTAATTTTCAAAGATCTTCTAGATTCTTTGGTTATGATTTTTTGGCCTTTTCTCTTTGATTCAATTAATAATGTCATCATAACACTGCCGCTATTATCATCTTCTCAATCACATTTTCTTTGCCCACAAATAAAGTCACGCTGGTCCTACGTTATTTTATTGATCAGGCACACTTAAAAACTTGGTCCTGATTTAATCTGGAACTCTTCCTTATTCTGTAATAAAGTGAAACAAGGAAGTACTTGAAATTTTTTCTAAATGAAAAAATTGAGTGCGTAGTGACAACGCGTGGTTTAAATGAAGTCCTTCTGCCGTCATTTCAGGATTCTATCAATCAACAATATTCACTATCTCCTCTCCTTATTCCACTCGAGTACAGCCTCCAGAAATACTCCTTCATAACGACGGAGATGCCCTAGGATACTGCACGACATTCCTCTCAAGACACCTGAATCCTCTACAGATCCCCTTTAGTATTAGGTTGAATTCAGGGAACAACGCTTCTGTGGAGATCACCGCTGTCTATGCTAGCATGTCCTGAAGGCTACTAGGTCGATTATCACTTATAGTCGCAAAACTCAGGATTACTCATCTTAGGAGTGTTGATTTGCACCGATGATTTTGTCGCTAAAGAGTGGTGGTGAGAGGTAGACTGCCAAATGGTGTGAGAAAATCCTTTAAGGATCCTCTTTAGTACTGGGTTGAATTTGATGAACAACGCTTGGTAAATGATGATGCTCAGGCCTCCTCGAGAGGCCAAGTAACGGTGGAAGTAATGGTAAATGCAGGGGCAGTGGTAGACCACCTGGAAATCCAGCTAGACCACCAAGCAGTGCAGTTGCTGTTGAGTGCTCCTGCGCCTTTCGTCTCAGTTCAGCAAGACTGCTTGTCCTGTGAAGATCACCACTGCCTGGCTTGCAGCAACCGCAGAGAGAGCCTGGCCAACCTGCTGGTGCCCATGCCAGCATGTCCTGCAGGCTGCTAGGTCGATGATCACTCGTTGTCCAGAGACTTGGAGTTGCTGATGTCAGTGATGTTGTTGTTGAACTGATGATTTTGTTGCTAAAGAGTGGTGGTGAGAATTGTGCCGCCAGGTGAGGTGAGAAAAACAGCGACGTTGGAGGCTCCACTGGTCTGAAACCTGTACCTGTGATGCTGGAACATGAGAAAAATTCATTGTTAATTCTGAGTTTAGAGTTGAGAGAGAGGTTTGATTAAGATGTCTAAACTTCGGAAGAATTTCCATATATATAAGATATAACAGGCCCCAAAGCATGAAGCCGGGATTCCTTTCACCTACCATGACACGCGTCCTAACCTTTGATCCCCACTGATTAGGTCGAATATTAATCCCAAATATTGTTTGATTAATGCTCTTTGCTTAGTAATAGAACCAAAAACTACTAGTAGATTGGTAATCAGCATTGAACCAACTTCCGAATGGAATTTCGTGATGAGGGAGTGAAAAGGGTGAGGAAACCTCAAGAGAGTGGGGATAAACCCGAGTACCCGAGTAAGTGCGATAATTAACGGCAATTAGATGCACGAAACTATCTTGCGAGTGGGTTTCATCTCACATGTACCTGTATTGAAGATACATACAGTATTCACACATGATGACATTGTATGTGTTGGTGTGTTACCCCAAGGGGCGTTGGATCCGATTACGATACTGCTTAGCTCACGCCTGATATCGCTATTTCCAAACGTTTGCACACGACCACTTGGGCTCGATTTAGACGTGAAGTCGTTGACGAAAATGATGAGAAGTTTTGGAAGAATGATCATAGATTGTTGGCATAATCGTAGGAATGGTTGCATTATGGGACAAACTCTAGTTCGAATTCTTGTGACCAAGCTTACAGTAAGGCTGAGACAATAATTAACGAACAAGCTTGCTCCGATTGGCCTGATGTCGGGCAAACATGGCACCAAAAATCCGACCAGATTTTCGATGACCATTAGACTTTTGGTCGATATTGATCAACCCTTTAGCAACACCATCAATTCCCTTGGTTCTGAGTCACAAACCGCCAAGCCAACATTGAACCAATATTATCTTTTATCCTCAATCTGCATACGATTAAAGTGAACACAGGTCCATTAACGATAATTCTATCCCCTCGTACAAAATCAGATCCGAACAAGGTAAATTTCAACAGGAGAAAAGAGGATCCTCGGAAGGATATACTCAGACACAAGGATGGAGTATTTTTTAAGGGGGTAAAGGTACCCATGTGTAGTACCCAGCTAGGCGGTGAGGAGCCCCGAGCTTCTCAACCACCCTCCCTCCAACCCCTTCCCCACATCTTACCAGTTTCCTACCATGTGCCTGAAGCAAGACTTCAGGAGCAACCCTGAATAAGTTATAAGGATATATTTACGGAGAGCGGTTTTAAATAAATTACAACTGGTGAAGACGACCAAGAAAGGAGTACGTCCCGACAACCATCCCTTCCCCATCTATTTCCTTATTCTTTTCAAAGTTTTACTTTTTCAAATTCATTCCTTTTTTTTCCTAAGTGGAACCTTCGGACTATTATACTTCTGTTGGCTTTCACTTTGAGACAAAGGGTACATATTATGAATTATGAGTGAATCAGGATGGGAAAGTGAAGACTTTTGATCGATATCACCATAGTCTTCATCGTAATAAAACACGTGAAGCACAATGAAGATACCAGGAAGTACCCGTAATCAACACTAGCTATCACTGACTCGATCAAGAAGAAAAAAGGGGTTGAAGTGAAAGTAGATGAGAATAGAGTGAAATGGAATGAAAGAGGTTGGTCTGTTAAATGGTGTGTGTCGAGCATCCGGAGTTGCTCGTTTTACTCGTTGGACACAGGCGAGCGCTTTCAGGGCGGGGTGAGTTGGTTTATAAACCCTGTGATATTTCCTAAAAGCGTAAATACGTAGTGGACTTAAAAGCCGCATACACCTCACTTGGTGGTCCTTGGGACCACCAACTGGGTGATATCTAGCGTTTACGAAGGAAGCAGTCTATGGTACCCCCCTCCGAGCTTAGTGGCGATTTAAATGTAACGGACAAGGAGCTCAAGTCCCTCTCTCTCTAGCTCTGTAACTCTTCTTATTTTTTGTTTCGCTCTGGAACGACAAGGAAAAATAATGGGCGAAGGTGATGCTAACCTCTCCGTGGGCGGAACGAGACTGCCACCTGCTGTGCTGACGGGCAGTGGCGCCCTCACGGGCGTCGGCGGTGGCGTCGCTGTACCACCGAGTGATGGCTGACTCTGGGACTGCTGGGGTCGGGGGCTCACCGATGCCGATGTTGTGCTCGGACTCCGGGAGCCGGTGCCAGCTTCCTGACCATTGTCCTCACCCTCAGCACTGCCTGCTTCGGTGTCGTGGTGACTGATCGGGGAGGGACCGCTTGACGATGTTGGAGGCAGACCTTCCAAGGGACCGGTCGCCGGACCGCTACTACCGTCACGCTTTCTCTGTTCTTCTTTGAGACGTTCGCCCTTCCGCCATTTTGCTCGACGATTTTGGAACCAGACCTAAAATTCAACAGGTAAATATGCAACTTTTGAGGTTAGAATTTCAACCGATTGCGTCGGGTCGTGCACGCGAAAACTTTCTGACAATAAAAGAAAGGGTTTTGATGTGATAATTGGATACTGAGCTTGTCACTGAGAGGCGCGACCAAGTGTCAAGTGAGGAAAAAGGGACACACGTCGTGCCGGGTGTGGCGCATGTTCAACGAGCCAACACTGTCGACCACGCTCATACCCGAGTGTTTCACTTCTCATTTTTTTTCTCCCACGAAAAGTGTGTCTCGAGTCGTAGTAATGAGACTAACTTGACATAATGCCAGCCTGAGATAGGATTTAATCGCGCCCTCTAGTGGCCTCCCCAAGGGAACATCCGGCGGATAAACAACAATATTAGAATATTATTTTCAACTTTTTCAATATACCATCAACTAGCAAATTGAACAACGAGATGAAATCAGCGAAGCAGAAGCTTTTGAAACTTTTCGGCGGAAAACCCAGGAAAATGTTTTAATAAAATAAATACGCACAGACTGATGTTCCGTGAGGAGTCACGGAGGGAGGGGGCAAGTTAGTGGAGGAAAGGGGAGAAAGAACTACTGGTGGGGTGCCAGGAGGTACGCTGGGTGGCAGCCGGGAGATATAATAATATCCTAAGGGTTTTGCGGGGGCGAGTAATAGCCAGGAACAAAGCCGCATTTCCCCCTTGGGAATGCCCCTTGAGTATCCTTCATTCCACGTTCAACTTGAAAACTAACGACATTTCATTTTTCTCAATATGAATTTAATCTCAGATATGTCAATACCGTATTATTACTCATCAAAGTATTCTCCACGAATTTCTCCATCAATTTTTATGAATTCTTCAAACCCCATAACCTCGAAAAATTGCATGGTTCTGATTGCAGTCAAATGCGACGTGAATGCGAGCCGGCTTGTCACACGTGACGCGTCCCGGTGAACGTGCCCTCCCAACATGCCCCCTCCTTCCCCGCGGCACTTATAATTGAAGTATATATAACGTAGACAAGTGAGAGAAAAGAATGACAGAGAAACATGGAGTGATGGTAAAGTGGGGAAGGTACTACATAAACGCGCCTATTTGTCCATTATTCCAGATTCTCTTTGTTCCTTTCTAATGAAACAATGAGTCTGCGCCGTAATTGCGTCATACTCGACGAAGCCCCCCCCCCTTCTGGTTCTGTAGCCCGCCTGAGTTTTGTTTTTTTTTAATACTCCTCTCGTTTATTTATTCTCCCTCTTCTTCGTTGGTGTTATTGTTTCGCTGTACTTTCGACTGTGGCTAGTTAACAATCAGTGTTGCAAGTTGACTGAAGAATTTATCACAGTCCGAGAGATGTAATCTGCGGGATTACCGGCTCACCGTTGGAAAGATTACGTCAGTTTTCGGGAGAGAAGTGGATACTTCCCTACGGGCAGCACCAGAAGCTGCTACATTTCACACATCCATCAGTTATGTAACTTACCTACCCCGGGATACTATGAAATTTATGATCATGCCTCACCTGCACTCTCGCCTCCGTCAGGTTTATCTTCATCGCCAGATCCTCACGCGTGAAGACATCCGGATAGTGTGTCTGGGCAAATGCCGCCTCGAGTTCTTCGAGCTGTTGCAGCGTAAATGTTGTGCGATTTCTTCTTTGTTTTCTACGGACAAATGAGTCCTCACCGACTCCGTGGAGAGCTGGGTGATAGGCGGAGTAGCTGGTGTCTGAAAATGGAAATGGTCAATTGTGAACTAGATGAAAGGACAATACAAGGAAGGATAACAACAAGGTTCAGGAATAAATTTCAGAAATATGGGTCACAAGGGTCAAGAACGAGGTTCACAAAAAAGGGTCAAAAGTAAGGGGCACGAGCGTCAGAGATGAGGGTCAAAAATACGGCTTAGAATAAAGGTTAGAAATAAGAATCAGAGATGAGAGTCACGAGGGTCTCAAGGGTCAGGAATAAGGTTCATTAATTAGGGTCAACAATAACGGTCAGAAATAAAGGTAAAAAATAAGGGTCAGAATTTAGGCATAATAATCGTAAGTCAATCGTCAGAGAATACGAATCTTTGCCTTAACTGGAATATCAAAATGTTACATTCCCAAGAATTACAGGATAGTGAACTTGGACTTCAGCACAATAGACGATCACCAAAATTAAGTGGAGTCGAGTAAGGTTCGGAATTGGATGGGTGACCACTCGTCGAAAATGTGATTTTTTTCTGTTTCAACGTATATAAATCGATTTCCATCATTGGACATGCTTTCCCACAGCAATTAATCAGCTATTCATCATTGACAAATTGTTAATAATAATTAGGTGAATAAATGATCACGTAAGTTTTTGATGAGTTACAACCTACTGGTAACTTGTGAGGCAACTGCGTGACGTTTTTATGAGTTCCTTGTAGGTCGAAACCTACGTGAAACCGGTGACCATGTCGGTTGCACCTGATCGATAACCGATGATAAACCGACGAAATTTCTACTCGGGATCATCTCATCAGGAAAGAAGCAGGATACCAACCAGGTAGGAGATAGAGCATGAGCTAGGATTGCTCCGAAGTTCACCCGAGAATTGTCCATTTATGGCTACGGCAACAATATGGCTCCACACGGAGAGAAATGTTCAGTAAAAATGACAGAACTCACAATTCACTCACCGATTACGGAATCGACTCAGAAAATTTAAGTGACGGTATCGTAATTTTACACAGGAGATTCAAATAAAAATTACAGACCACTCTGGAAAAATTCCGTGACAGTTCCGTAAAATTTCCTACAACCACATTTCGCTCCGAAATTACGGAAAAGATACGTAATTTTCATTGAATATTTCTCTCCGTGCAGCTTATGCCAAGACTGCGACAGCAAACTTCAGAAAGTGGGGCCAAATGCAAAAGTCCCTAAAACCACGATCTAAAGGATTCCGCAAACTCATTCCCTCGCAGACCCATTACCTCATTACCAACTTCCTCTTTCCCTCAGCATTAAAAAATCCGTGTAATTACCCGAACCTCATTATCCATCACCCCTATAAATTCCAAAACGCAAATTGATGTGTGCATATAAGTGAATAGATTCAAACGTTAAATCGTAAAATTCAATCACTCGGAAACAACTGCATTAATTACCCAGCATTGAATGTGAGAGCAGGGAATTAGTGGAAGTGAGACAGTGCTACTCCGCATACACGGCTAACCTTTGTCGTACCGGTGCATTAGTATGGATGATGTTGGGAAATGAGTTTCATATTTCGAATGTAAATCTATCTGGATGTAATGAATCGATAATTATCATCTATTTATGTGGATGACTGATGATATTTATCTGCAATCAACACATTGATGATAATTAGGAATAAACAGTGAATATTTTCGCACCGTTTGATGAATAGGTAATGGGTTAACGGGATTTATGAAAGTCATCTTGATACATATCAAAACTATGACAAGTTCACTATCTGGAGTTAGAGATTTCTTTTCAAAAAGAAATCAGACATCACACGCTTGGACCAAAAAAATCATGGCAATCCGCTAATATCAACAAGACCACATAGACCAAGCGGTATTATCTGCAAGCGGTCTTACTAGGTATGTTTGATTTTCAACGTTTCTGATTCAGTAATGGGATACTAATTGGTCGAGATCACCCCTACAACGATAAGTCGAGTATAGTTTAGACCTCCTGTGTACACGCTTGCTGCCTAGTATTGGCATGGGAAACTGGCAAAGCCAGAGGTATAGTGGTAGTGGCTTTGAAAGCTGGACTGTACAAAGCAAACTAGGCGAGATAGAAAGGGAGTGAGTGAGACACGGGGTAATGGAATGAGAGGGATGGAATAAGTGGGTGGGGGAGGCTTGAACATGGTTGCCTGTAAAGCGCACCAAGCGTTCATCAATGATTCAGAGCAATCAGCGCAATTAATTACCACGGCACTAAGCCCGCAGGATCAGCGGGCTTAAAATGGTGGAAAAAAAAGTTTGAGGGGGCAAAAAATTGGGGAAATTAATTTCCTAAACTTATGAAAATTCTATGTGGATTTTTACATTTGAAATAATTTTTTTCGAGGGTCTGGTGATAGCTGGACAATATCTATGAAATTTGGAATGCTTCACGGGAACTGAAAATATGTCCAACTTGAATCAGGCCAAGACGACAAGTACCCACCAGATCGTACATACTGGTAAATAAATTTTCCATTTCTCTATCCAACTCCAGTGAAACTGAAATCCACTCAAGATCTTGGATTAGAGTTTGGTAGAGTAAAGCCAAGGACCTAGACAACCCCATACCTCGTCATCGAGTATAGAGAAAAACCCAGGCAATAGGGAAGAGAGACGACCAGGATGAGGACTTGATCCAATTTATTAGGAAAAAGGTGGAAGGGAAACCAAAGAACGAAGGGGGAAAGAGCGAAAGAGTCAGTTTGTGAGATATACGCTTCATTCGATTGCCAAGAAGTACGATAGCACGGGATTTCGTTACTTGATCATCCCAGATAAATAAAAATAAATTTGACATCACGTTTTTTGATGGCTTCCACCAGCCATCTACATCAACATCATCTTGTTGATTCTTTTATTTTTTTTATATCTGGGGAAGGGTAAATCAACCGAGGGTAAGCTTGAGTACGTGCTCTCGATGGTGTATTTCACCCTTCGAGTAACAACTCCTCTCGGTACTTTGACATATCTGTCGTCATGATGTCAGGATGGTTGACGGGAAACGAGGAAGGACGGCTACCAATTAAAAATAGCTTGTGCTAATAGCTTTGGGTTTTGGCGGAATTGATGGAGATGAGCAAGTTGTCATTTCTTAGTAGTTACATTCCAGATTAGTCCACATACAAAATGAAAATCATGTCCACCAGCACCATCATTTTCAAAACCTTATCCGAAACCAAACAAGCGATCTGAATCGGAAATTGATTTTATCCATAGCTAATTCATCGAAATTGGTACTGACAGGGACGAGTATATCTTTGAACATATATGTCGTCCCAATGTCATGACAATTGACATGAAATGGAAGAAGGATAGGTCGTATTGAAGGGCCGTCCTCATCAAATCTTTGATTTTCCGAAGATTTGATGAAGACAGACAATCCGAAAAGATCCATCAAAATCAATAACCGAAACTGAGCCAGCATTCTCGATGCCGAAAATGAGTTGAGTTCCCGGTGGAAAAACTACACGTTGCAGGAGCCAAATCTAATGACACCCCGACCGTCACTAATGACCCTAACGAGGTAGTTAGATGTTGTAGACGAAGCCGCTGGTGTGCTGTCCGTTTTCACTGGGGGTAGGAAGAGGAAATTCAGTGAGTGTATTCTATGTATGTGTGAATTGTTGAACGTACAGGGGGTCCAGTCGTGCCTCTGGACCGTGGGCCGAGTGAACCCACTTACCGACTTATCACGTAGTTACCTAATCTGTTTATCCCGGTGGGGCGGTAGAGGAATCAGACGACGAGTTTGAAGGGGGAGACTTCTCGATGGGAGAGGGGGGAAGGGGGAGCGGCACCACAGGGGGCTTTACCCACCATCAACACCCCCAACTATGACAACTGGTTGTCTAGTTCATTTGGCAATAATGGATACTAGGAGAAAATTGAGTTAGGACACTCGAAAAAGATATTAGTTTATTCGATCATCGCGAGGATTTCGCTTCAGTTAATGATGAGCTTCAAAGAGAATGCAACAATACATATATTCAAACCCATTCTGCCCCCGTTAGTTTGAAAAATCATACGGACGAAATGAATCAACTTTTCAATTACTTTTGTCATCAACAATTTTGCAAATACGATTTTCCACTTTTTTTTCGTTCATTTCAGGTAATCCATGGGTAAATATTTCATGAACATAAATACATTATACGTTCAATATACCATCCAGCGGGGAAAAAATTCAAAGGCCAGCATCTCTCTCTCGTGTAATGTATATATCCCACATAGCCATCAAATTCATAACTCGTTTTACGTTTTTTTCAATTTTCCCGGGCGGTCTCTCTCGCCTCATCCCCCTGCCCACCCCGCACCCGGGAGAGTAGAACATGCGTCACTTTGAATTTCTAACCCAACGGGTTTGGGTTGAACCATTCTACCCCTCCATCAATATTTTATTCATCCTGTACATTTCTTCAAATCATGTTTTGTAAAATTGGTTGAACACAGTATGAACGATGTTAAATTTCAAAATGTAGAATGATGATCGATCAGCCAGAAAGGGAAATATCTTGGTAGCCCCCCCACTGTATCCTGAATTATTAATCATCACGCCAGGAAATGGCACTTGTGATACATCATGCGATTATATATCGCAAAATATGACACGGTTAGTCAAATTGGTTTAACAGTACTTCACTGATACTTGTGTCATGATATCAAGTATAGAGGGACAACTCTGGGGATTGTTAGATTGATAGTTGAGGGGATCTTTTTTGGGTACTCAAATTCTTAACCGGACGTAGAACCACCGATAAACACAGGGGCCCTTCCGTTCAAGTTAAGTTAGGCAAAGTGTTTCGAAATGGTGGTGAAGTGCCCTTGGGAGAGTGGACAACAGGTAAACTCGGTTTTCCCATGTCGTTTGGAATTTAAAAGTTTCATACTTGATTGAGTTTACTGTCCTATGGCAATTTGATGAGGAGGAAGAGAAAGTTTCAGGATCTTTTGAGGATTTCGGTCATGCACGACCCGATTGACGATACGAATCACGGAGATGATTTGGTTTGAGAAATCTTTGCGGGTATCTGGTTTAATTGCGGAAAGTATCAAATGTTGCTCCAAGCCACGATTTCGCGTCGCCGAGGTTCTCCCAGGGTTGAGCCAATACTTGGCCCAATCACTTGTTAGTGTCATCCACTCGAAGAATAGTTCAGGTTCAGGCCGGAAGACAGGATTGAACCGAGGTTAAACCAACACTTGACGCCAACGTTACGCCAACCCCTGGCCAACCATGGCCACTCTTCATCCCCCACCAAAACAGAACATGCCCACCTCGTGTTAAGCTTTCGAGAATTTTGGTCATGCACGATATGATTGATGATACGAATCACGAAGATAATTTGGTTTGAGAAATCTTTGCGGGTATTTGGTCTAATTACGGAAAGTATCAAATGTTGCTCCAAGCCAAGATTTCGCGTAGCCGAGGTTCTCCGAGGGTTGAGCCAACACTTGAGCCACACACTGGTCAGTATCATCCACTCGAAAAATAGCTCAGGTCTAGGCCGGAAGACAGGATTGGACCGAAGTTAAACCAACACTTGACGCCAGCGTCAAGCCAACCCTCCGCCAATCATGGCAGCTCCTCATCCCCCACCAAAACTCCAATACAATAAAAATTTCTACTCACACGGATGCGTCGGTGCAAACGTATACTCCAATGTCGGCGGTAGTCGGGGGGCCGGGAGACCAGGTGGGCAGTGGTAGCAGAACATGCTGCTAGCTCTGGCCGCCATACTTGGGGTACTCCCCGGCCCCCCGCCTGGTGATCCTGCACCCGCCACCGGAGTCGTTGACTGCGGTGACGTCTGTTGGCTTGGACTCGGTAGGTGGTGGTGATTAGAGGTCTGATGTGTATGAAGGGATCCAATCTGAAATAACAGGCCAAAATATAATGCAATTCGGAAAGGGGGCTCAGCCCCCACCCCCCACCAACTCCATTATCGACAGAGGGATTGTAAACGCGTGTGAATAATTAATACCGTGTATGGCAGGAGTTTGCTGTACCTCTTACGCAACCATCGCAAATTCAATAAACCGGCCTACAGTGTCATCAATTTGTGATGAAACTTTGTCTCACTTTAGCACATATTTGCGGTTATACCGGCACTCGGATGAAGACTGTAGTCCTCTAAAATGCATTATTACATTCAGGATACTGCAGATGGGTGTTTATGGGGAACAAGTTTAATGGGTTAGTCCTCATTCCACAAATAATTTTTCAATAGTGGTGTGTTGGGGCTTTTGAGACTTGATCTCCATCTCTGTCGGTAACATCAAAACTCTCTCACTTGCACGAATATGGGGCTGCGGGCTCTCGTTATATATACGAAGAGGGACAAATTGAATTTTAGATCATGGCGTGCTTCGGCGAGGCGTCCGGGGACGTACCCGGCAGCCCAACCGAGATGATACTAATTGAAATTTGAAATTGATATTAGCGGATTATTATCCAACCCCCGCTCTACCCCGGCTGCTCCTCACCGGTTAGGACTGTCGCCCTCTCTCTCTATCTCTCTTTCGTTTGGAGTCTATGGTGCTTCAGGTATAGCTCACTCTATCGCAACTATGCTGATGTATACAGATGTAATTTCAGGTTGTCTGTCTCACTTCAACGCTGGAGAAAAGTAATTACCGCTGGGCCGCGTGTCGGATATCAAAAGTAATTGCTGGGCGAAACTTAACGAAATTTTGTCAATTTTCGGGACTGAGGGGGTGGAGTTTTGATGGGAGTTAACCAGGGGCTTGGGGGGGAAAGGTTCCTGGGGCTTGGAGAGGGTTAAATTATGCAGGAGGGGTGCGGGTTTACGTTGAAGATTCTTTGAGTTTTGGGAATAAATTGTTTCTGATTTTTGGAGTATTGAATTGTAGGGAAATTAGGAATTTCGGTTGTCAATATTGGGAATAAAGAGAAACTGAAATATTGATAAGAAATGAACAGAAAACTGAATTATTGAAGAAATAAAAATTGACGAGTCGCAGGATTCAATGCTTAGCCTCGAGGCAAATCAACGAGAACTCTCGGCCTCTTTCCTCTCGTGACCACAGAACAGATAAGTGCACTGTAACAATTCATTTTGAGGACCCACTTTACTTTACGGCGTCTCGAACTTGGCTCAATGCGATTAAACGTTTGTATCACAGTGTATCCTCATTTAGACAATTTTCATTTTATTATCTGGAGCAAAGAAGGAATTTTCTTGTGATTATTTTCATATTTTTGTGCACATTGGTTTTTCTGATTTACTTCGATTAAATTCAATCCACCAGTGACGGCTCAGTATGAAAGATGAAAATTTCAAATGCAAAAGATTAAAGGGGATTATTTAATATAATGTTTTTTTTTAAGTTTATGTGTATGAATGATCTGTGAAATTTTATAAGTTGATCTCAGTCTTTTTGCTGAGAAATAATTAAACTGCGGGATAAGTTTCCATGAATTGTTTGGGAGAATTTCTGGTTTATATTATGAGTGAGATAACTATTACAGAGATTATTAAACTATTGTTGAGAAGTATATATTGAACTATTGTGTATATCATTTCAAGGAGTTTTTAAATCTGATTTGATATTATATTGCGAAGTTCCATTGAATTATTTCTGAAACGGAAATGTCAATATATAAATTCTCAAGTTAATATATAAATTGAATTTTGATCAATTTTGCCGCATAAGAGAATACAAGACAAGGCACGAAATGGGTTATTCTTGTCTTGAATTGGATTCGCGCAAATCAGTGAGGTTGAAAGTTTGATATTTTAGGAGAACGTATTGTTAAAAGTTTAATGAAGTTTTGACGTAAATCCTCGGAGTGCTTGAGGTATACCAAAGCGAGTCGGTTCAAGGGGAGACCTTACTGAATTTACTCTATTTATCCTTCTGATGAGTTGACTACTCCATTTTTGATGCGAAAAAGTGAGAAAAAAAATGAAAATTGAAGATATGTTAGCGACCGATATGTCCAATTTCTGTATTACCCCCGGGCTATTATTCGGCCAATCTTGGATATTGTCAAGGCATAAATTATATGGAAAGAGGAATGCTGTAGGTCATCCATTCACTTTCGAAAAAAAAAAAAGTTTTTAATCGATCTCTCCTCAACCCACAATTTAATAACCAAAAAGCAAGTTTCTAAACAAGTTGAAAGGATATTGTTGGAGAAGATGTGGATAGATAACATAAAACGTATTAATACATGAATAACTTTATTCAACGGAGGAGTTCTCACAGCGGCCAGCGTACAGGTGCTACTCATACATCAGTGAACATGCGCTCGCATCGCACGGTGGCGCGAACACGTACCAAAGATGTCGGTAAGAGAAACGGGAGAAGCGATGCTTACCTCCAATGCAAGGCATCAACAATCAGTATACAGTAGAGGCTTCGTATAAGATACCTCAGGGACAGTAGAAGACTGGAATTCCGGGAACCCTTATGAACTCACTACGCGTTCCCATAGAGAGAGGAAAAATAGGGATTACCGGGTTTCAAATAAGATACGCCCGAATTCAATGAAATTTTCATTTTTACTGAATAAATATCGATAACTAATCAATTTATATGTATTTAATGTTTTGAATTTGTATCGCCCGCGTTCCCTTTTCTCTCTAAACATAACCCCGCGTGGTAGAATGGCAGCTGATGTTGGGGGATAGTTGGTGAACTCGAGAATAATCACAGACGAAAAATCACGACTTTTCGATGGGAAAAGTGAAAAAAAATCGATGTATATTTCCATTACTTGAAAACAGTGATGAGACCCCCCCTCAAGGTCATTAGACCCTCATGATCACTTCGTTCGTCACTCCCGTTTGACCCTTAACAACGTTTGATCCTCATAACTACTCTCTTCCCGTTGAAAAATGACCGGGGCCATAAGTATCTTATAAGAAGCCCACGGAACATAAACATTCGGGAGGCGATAAAAGTGCCGAGAGTCGGAGTAGGCCTCGAGCGCTCGGAGCGCGAGATATCTTATAGAGAGGTATCTTATATGAAGCCTCTACTGTACCCCATTTTCTTCATTTTTTCCCATTGATTCCTGACGACACATTGAAATTTTTTTTTCTAGATTAATCTCATGGTTCTCGAAATTCCCAGACTCCCCTGACGGAAATCCTCGAGGCCCATCGGGAGAAGAAAGATTACAAGACCACAATGCACAGGAGTAAAATACTAGCAAGGGGTGCAGGTTCGAGGGGTCACGAGGAGAACGACGGGGTAATAATCGAGGAAGGGGGTGAGTACACAGTTACTGTTTGAGTGCACTTACACAATGTAAATATGAAGGTGGCGCCACTCTGAGTAGCTGCGTGGTTTAACACACGATGAACATACGCGTCGACAGAAGGGATGAAATGTAGCGAGGCTAATCCGTGCACTTTCGTGTACAGATGGGGGTGGAGTATGATGATCTTTACGGTGGGGGGGGGGGCAGGGGGNGGGGGGGGGGGGGGGGGGGGGGGGGGGGGGGGGGGGGGGGGTCGAATCTGGTGGCTCCGGGGCACCCCGTTGTTACAGGGGTGTGTGGCATGTGGTTTGCGGTTGCTAACGCTTCATCAGTGGATTTCATATACTTTGATAGCTGTTTGCGTATTGACACTCGATTTGAGATGCTGTTTCGTTGAGATTTATTCATTCTTGAGCCCCTGAATTCAAGTCATTTTTAATGACTCAATCAAACGAAGGTATTCCGACATGCTTTCTAGACCTGTATTATCCCCGGGCTATTATTCGGTGAACCTTAAATATTTTTAAGGGATAAATTCAATGGAAAGAGGGATTCTATATGAGGGATTCCATGTCAAATGAGTCAACTCCTGGTACTCACCCTCTCGGGAATTGATCTCGATTTTCTTTACGATTGGGACCCTAGCAAAACTATCTCTCAATTTTTTTTAGGTTTCTTTAATGGTCCATTTCCGGAGATATCATTTTTTTTCTTTGTTTTTTTTCAATGGCTCCAGTTCATCCGGTTCATTCGATTCATCCTATTCATCCGATTTTGATTTATGACACGTCAAAATTTTTGATTCTCTGTCATCTATAAGAATATTTTGAGTAATTTTTTTTAACTGCTAGGTACTCATAATACCGAATTTTCAAAAAAAAAGTTGAAAAACTTGCATTTTCAAAATTATGTCACGTTTTATTGTTCTCGTCTTTTTTTCAGTAACCTTCGTAATTAAAACAAGTATTTTGAGCACTCATACAAGTTGAATTTTATCCTAGATCTATTTTATTTTCAATTTTTTCTTCTGAAAAATCCACGAATTTTCATCAAATATCCCCATATAAAGGCCTTGGCCATTATCAAATAGCCAAGACCTTTAATATTCACGAAATAAAAAAAAATATTATAGAAGACTAAAACAACGTCGACAATGTGGCATATCTTAGTTTCAATTCTTCTGAAAGATAAATTTCGATGCTGTTAATCACACCAGTAAACAACCTCAATAACTAGAATCCATCTTGCGTGACAGATTAAATAATATTCAATTCTACGCATTTTACTCCATTTGAAATTCTCAGAATTTTATAAATAGACGAGATGTCCCGCATGCTCTTGAATTTAAAAAATTCCCCTCCCCACCCCCCTGATGCATCTTCACACGGTATGTTTCCTCCACAGCGCGAGAAAAATGGACAAGGCAAACATCAAGAAAGTGTGTAAGCACTGGTCTACGATTTTATTAAATTGTGTCATCCAACGAATGAGGGCCTTAACGCGATGCAAGCAATTTGTGCCGCTTAATTAATTCCCATTCCCTTCTCCTACCAACTATCCCCTCGCAGCATTCAGCTGGTCCGCCTCACTGGTGGCCAAACCCCATGTATGTATTTACCATATGTACGGTTTAGTGGATAT